ATAAAGGCTTGTGTAGTGCAAAAAATAAAGCTAAAGGAAAATTAGTTGTAAAATGATTTTTGAGAAAATACAACAAATTACAGGAATAATATGTTGACACATGCTGTGCATATGGCGATTTTATTACATCTCAACAGTGTACTAATTCTTGTTGACAATATTGGGCATCCAATACGTTAGTTTTTGAGACTTCATTCAAAATCACTTATTGATTTTCTGGAGTTAATGCATAGTTTTAAACATTTGATGTATAGTTTAAACAAATTTAGTTAAAAATCAGTGAATTAATCTAATATTCTTTGTAAAATATTTACGTATATACCTATTTTTTGATATATAATGAATGAGAGTGAAGAATTACTCGAATTCTGAATGACAGTTTTTTGTAATTCAGTGCTGAGTCAGCAAGAAGATCCAGTGCAAAGTTCACTTAATTTTTGTCGCCTTATTTTGCTTTATATGAAGAAATTTGAATGTACTGATGTTGAACGTACTTTGGATTATGCATATTTTTTGAACAAAATGGAGTCGCCTATTGGTAAGGATATCCTTATACATGTGGTTTTCTTGATTTCTCCAATTCTCAATACATCCCAAGGTGTTCATCAAAATATAATTGATTTCTCTTTTTTTTGAGTGCACTTGGGAATGATAAACAAAATTTAATTATGTTATCAATTAAAATTAATGCGATAGACGAAAAAGATAATATTATGAGTGAAAGTGATGGGATGCAAATATTCAATAATATAATTGACAGAGTTTGAGGAAGGTAATCAATCTATGACAAACTTTCCAGTTTGCTATGTGATATATATTCGACGGCGTCGACAACACTGCCCTAAAAATTCGACTGATTTTGATAAATTGTTATTTGTAAAGCTATTATTTCAGGTGGAAATTTATTTTATTCATGCATTTCTCGTGCGGTTTATTTGAGTAATGAAACTTGGTGTATTATTGGAAAAATTAATGAAAACGGTGTTCGACATGAAGGTCTTATTGATAAATACGCCAGAGATATCAATATTGAAGATGCTATCGCAAAAGTTGCCTCAGATACCGAAGTCAGTGGTGATGGAATGCTTGCTGGACAACTTTATATGGCTGCCGGTGTTGGTTTTCATCTTCATTAGAAAATTAATGAGCTATTCAGTTTTTTGATC